AGCAGAATTGCAAATGAAACTTGTGTTTGCTCCTCAAATGACTCCAGCAGTACCTGAACTCCTGCACCCCACACCTTCTCCCTGGAACCACACCTGCTCCTTGGATCCCCGTCCCTCTGAGCCCCATCCCTGTGCCCCAGAGGTGTGAAACAGGGACCAGACCTCAAAGAGAGGGTTCTCTGAGCTGGGAGGGCTCCAGGTTCTGGAATCAGGGAGGGGTGATGGGGAAGAGACTTGTGCCAACTTACAGGCGAGGGGAGCATAGATAAGCAGTTTATTAATTCCCAGTAAAATAATCAACTACCACCCGCCCACTTGTCAGAGGGTGGGGAGGGATAAAGGCTCTCCTAAAGTATTGCCACGGTGCAAAGTTTGAGTAAAGAAAGGATTACAGAGGGAGTTGTTTGTCTGAGCAGCTCCTGGTGCCGTGGGCAGGAGCTCCCAGGGTTTTGGCCGTGTTGGAGCAAGGGCAGGTGGGTGCAGGGAAGGGATGGAGGGACCCCAGGTTGTACTGGGCACCCCAACATCCCTGCATCCCCTGAGAGCAGAGAGCCCTTCCCTGCACAGCTCCACGCTGCGGGGCCGCCCTTCGCCTCGGGAGATGGGGCAGCTTATGGGACACGTGGGGATCTGCCTCGAGACTCATCCCTTCCCCCTGGGAATCTCCTCCTCGCTCCCAGGAGCCCGGGAATGACTCATGAGGTGTCTCTTGCACCAGGCGATGCGTTCCTGCCAAGAGCAAGCACCGACCTGCAGCCGCGCCGGCCTCGGCGAGGGACACCGGGGGGTGAGTGGCGTGGGGACCCCGGGGACGTGGGACTGGGGAAGTGCATCTGCCCAGCCTGGTGGATCATCCAGGGTGATGGGCTCATCCTGCGCTGCTGCCGGAAGGGTGCACGGAGCAGGAGGGAATTGGGGCCGTGTGTGTCCCCAGGGATCCACCCCGAGGGACGGGGCCCACCGGCTCCCACCGCGGGGACGTGCACCGGGACGTGTTTGGCCCCCGAGCAGGAGTGCAGGCTGGGCCAGGCTGCAACAACCAGGGGCTGTGTTCACCCCTGAGAGCCCCCAGCGAGGGGGAATCTTGTTGTTTTCCTGATAATTAAGTATTTAGGGAGAGTCAGTGCCAAAGGCGGCCCCAGGGGCCCCGCTCGGCCGTGGCTCCGCGGCGTGTGGGGTGTGTTCCTGCAGCACAGCACAAACCAGGGTCAGATCGGCCACACAGGGGCTGGTGAGCTCTGGTGGTTGTGGCCACCCTGGGTCAGCTCCTCGGCACTGCAGAGGCCGTGTGGCCCCCCCAGCCCACTCACAACCTCTTCTATGCCGTGGCCTCCCCCGTGTGTGGGCACAGCACAGTTGGCACAGGGCTCCTCCTGCCCAGCCCGCCTGGGAGGGCAGAGGCACCGGCAGATTCCAGCGGTGGGAGAGGACACGGCGGAGCAGCCCCGTGAGTCACGGCCAGCCTGGGCCAGGCCTGGCAACATAAGGAGAATTAATAACAAATACCTGGGCAACGAGGCAGGAGCTGGGGCGGGCGGTGCAGGATGGGGGGCTGAGCCGTGGGCCGGAGCTGGTGGTGGCTGGAGGATGCTGTGCCCGTGGCAGAACCCCCAAGCTTTGCCAGGCCCCCCTGTTTCCGAAGTGGGGGACGGTGGAGACACATCACCTGGACCAGGTCTGTGCTGGGGCACATGTCGATGGAGTCCCTGCGTGTGATCACGGGCCAGAGGGGGTTCCAGGAGCTGTGCCTTGGGGCACACGGGGGTTCCACTGGGGGCCTCTCGCTGCTCCTTGGTGACACGGTGTCTTCCCTCTTCCCAGGCCAGCTAAGGGGATCGGGGAGCCATGAACTGGAGCGTGTTCGAGGGGCTCCTCAGCGGGGTCAACAAGTACTCCACAGCCTTCGGCCGCATCTGGCTCTCCCTCGTCTTCATCTTCCGCCTGCTGGTCTACGTGGTGGCGGCCGAGCGGGTCTGGAGCGACGACCACAAGGACTTTGACTGTAACACACTGCAGCCAGGCTGCACCAACGTCTGCTTCGACCACTTCTTCCCCGTGTCCCACATCCGCCTCTGGGCCCTGCAGCTCATCCTGGTGACGTGCCCGTCCCTCCTGGTCATCATGCACGTGGCCTACCGGGAGGCCAAGGCGCAGAGGCTGCGCGAGGCCGGCGGGGACGGCTGCCGCCGCATCTACGCCCACCCCGGCAAGAAGCGGGGCGGGCTGTGGTGGACGTACCTGCTCAGCCTCATCTTCAAGGCCGGCGTGGACGTGGTCTTCCTCTACATCTTCTACCGTTTCTACAGGAACTACACCCTGCCCCGGGTGGTGAAGTGCGAGCTGCCGCCCTGCCCCAACGTGGTGGACTGCTTCATCTCCCGGCCCACCGAGAAGAACATCTTCACCCTCTTCATGGTGGTCACCGCCTGCGTCTGCGTCGTGCTGAGCCTCGTCGAGGCCGCCTACCTGATCGGCAAGCGGTGCCGGGAGTGCCTGC